CCAAGTTGCGACAACGAGGTCAACCAACTTCTAATAATATTGACTTGCCGGAATGTAGATTTCTTGGTTTGTGTATAGCCAGAAGAAAGTTGATTAAAATTTGCACTATACTTGCGTAGTATATGAGAAGCAAAGTTGGGTTTAGAAGACCCTATTGTTTCATAATTGTTGAGCTTACTCACATTTCGAGCAAACGTGTTTTGTCAAGAGTTTCGAAGGTCGATCCCACCAGAAGGATTATACCCTACTCTGATGATATGGATCATACGATGGACGAAAGTCTAGCATGCTTTCAACGTCCACAAGAATGTTATAGTAAGGCCAATCGACAGCTGGTTAAGATGAATCAGCCGCTGTCTTATTAGGCGTCCATATTAACCTATTTTCACTAATAGGAAACTGTAAAAGGTATCAAGTGGTTTGGTTAAGACTAGATTTTAAAAAAATATGGACAAGATACATGATCTGGTTAGAACCAAAACAAGGATTAGAAAATCCCTTTCTCTGCTATTTTATCAAGCTATGAAGATCAAGATGGTTTGCCTTTTGTATAAAAGTTGTTTGACCCTGTTTTCTCAATTTGGTCATATTGGCAGGAGTATCTTGAGGAACGCATCTTGTCTTGGTAGTCTCGAAACAATACTTAAATGCGAAAAATTGTCTTCTCTTGTCTTGGTTCTAATCACAATTACTTTATCCCGTTTTTTCTCTCTCACATTAAGACCAAAAAGCTCATCAACATAACCGATCTTGCGCAATTGGAGTGATGGCTAAAAAATATATATAGAAAGGGGGTGATGGTAGTAATCATAACTTGATGGCCTGGAACAGGCGTTACTTTTGCTGCCCTAATTACTTCGAGTAATCACTGCTTGGTTCGTCCGTATGCGAACACATACAGAGACAGGCACATTCACATGCTTCGAGATTGACATATGACTGGAAGTAACCAAATCACATTATTCTTCATTAGAGGTCAGATATAGAGTATATATACAGCTTTTTAGGGATGAGTTTTCTTGACTCGTTAGCTTGGATTTAGTTGTAAGTGATACCCTGTTCCGATGATGTGTCATACGACTGACGAAACCCTAGCTGGTTTTCATCGGAATCGAAGGTGATTGCTTAGGAAACAGCTTCAACAAGAATGTTCAAGTAAAGCCAATCGACAGCTGGTCAAGAGGAATCAGCCCTTATCTTCTGGTAGAATCGACCTTCGAATCTCTTGACCAAACTTTTTCATTCAAAATGGAAGTTAGCTCAACAATTATGAAACAAGAGATTCCTCCTAACTCAGTCTTTCTTCGCTTGGTTCTATCATCCGTATTGCCTTATCTAATGAATAATTAAGCGTCCATACAACCTGAGACTTGGACGATAGGTCATTCTTATTTCCACTTCTTGTCTTTCTGGTCCCTTAATTGATCAAAATATGGAGCTTTCGGTTTGATATCGAGTTTGTCTTCAACCTATCAGATCTTACTGAGGCTACGTCTCTGACGATCAAATGGCTTCAGGTATCGTGCACAATTTACATCTGCTTCATAGTGATACCCTCTTGAAGGCGCGGAAGACAATCGGCAGTCAACGGTTCATTTTCCTTCTCGTCACATCATCTGCATGCTTGACCTCGAACGTCGAGATTTCGTGTCAGATTAACGATTGCAACTGGACCGTACACATTCCTGAAACACTCATCCTGAGTAGACTCGAGGAGAGGATTTTTAAGTGAACCCTAGCCAGGTTATTCAGGTGTAAATCTTGGACTAGCAGACGAATGCTCTGAGTGTTTCGTGAATGAAAGAAAGAACCGAAGCGGACCAAACTTAATATTAGACTGGCAGATCGAAATGCATAGTGAGACTCGCTGCTGCTCGGTATAAGACAAAATGGGCTTCTCGCGAGTACCTTCCCGGCCGTCGATGGTAGTTAGCTGTCATTTGCCATTCGACACGGTGACTTGTGGATCCTCTTTCTCGTAGATTGATGCTGCAGTTGGGTCATCCTGGTTCCATGGTTTTATATCCAAAATGGTTCAGGTCACTTTAGTATATATTCGTTTTCTCACCAGGTTTGCGTATCAATCTAAATTACTTCACAGCATAGACAAGAAGCCTTATCAGTTCTCTTATTTAGACTGGCTCCTATCCTAATTGTTGAGCTTACTTCCATTTCGAGTGGAAGTGTTGGGTGAAGAGATTCGAAGGTCGGTTCCACCA